CTGGCCTTCTGCGAGCCTACTGTCGTGCACGAGGCATCCGCCAGACCTTCACGCTTCCGGACTCTCCACAGCAAAATGGGATTGCTGAGCGCCGCATTGGCATGGTCATGGACGTCGCCCGTACGTCCATGATGCATGCGGCTGCCCCCCATTTTCTGTGGCCGTTTGCGGTTCGGTACGCGGCGCATCAGATCAACCTTCACCCCAGGGTCTCCATGCCGGAGACCTCCCCAGCTTTGCTGTGGACGGGGAAGGTTGGCGATGCGTCTGCGTTCCGTGTCTGGGGATCTCGGGCGTTTGTCCGCGACTTGTCTGCGGACAAGCTGTCCCCTCGTGCTGCTCCTTGCGTCTTCCTTGGCTTCCCCCCTGACGCGCCAGGGTGGCAGTTCTACCACCCCACCTCTCGCCGTGTTCTGTCCTCCCAGGACGTCACGTTTGACGAGTCGGTCCCCTAATACCGCCTCTTCCCCTACCGCACTCCATCCCTCCCCCCGCCACCGCTCTTCCTTGTGCCAGGTCCCCCCCCGGTAGACCCCCTCCCCCCTCAGGGTCCTGCCCCTTCAGGTGTGTCGCATGTAGACGCCGTCGAGCCTGTCGAGGTTACTGGTGACTCTGGTGCTGCTGAGGGTGCTGAGCCTGGGGGTGCTGACTCTGGGGGTGCTGAGCGTGTGGGTGCTACGCCTGGGGGTGCTGAGCCTGAGGGTGCTACTCCTGGGGGTGCTGAGCCTGGGGGTGCTTAGCCTGGGGGTGCTACTACTGGGGGTGCTGAGCCTGGGGGTGCTGAGCCTGGGGGTGCTGAGCCTGGGGGTGCTACGCCTGGAGGTGCTGAGCCTGGGGGTGCGGAGCCTGAGGGAGCTGGGCCTGCTCGTGTGGCGTCTGGCGGTGCTGAGCCTGGAGGTTCTCCGGGTGCTTCGTCTCGGCGGGAGCCACTCTCTCCACAGGAGCTGCGCGAGTGGTTTGCCCGGCGCTGGAGGCGTGCTGCTGGAGCTGGAGGTTCTTCGGCTGCTGAGGGTGCTGGTGCCGCGGGTCCCGGAGGTGCTCGTACTGGGAGTACTGGAGCTGCTGGGCCTGCGGGTACGACTGGAGCTGGAGCTGCTGAGGGTGTTGACGCTGAGGCTACTGCTGTCGGTCCTGGAGGCGGTCCTGCTGGGGGTGCTACTGGTGCTGCTGGAGGTACTGGAGCTGGAGGTGCTGCTGGCGCTGGTGCTGCCGCTGGGGGTACTGGTGCTGTCCCTGCCGTGTCTGGAGTCGCCGCGCGGCCTCGGCCGTACTTCGTTTCGCTCCTTCAGCAGGTTCTTGGTCTCCCGCCTTCTACTGGTCCTCCTCCTCCCTTAGAGTGTCCACAGCCTGTCCCGTCACAGTTACAGTTACAGCCGGCCTCCCCACTGCCCGCTCCTTCTCCCTACACTGGTCCTACTGGAGGTCTGGCTGAGCGTCGTGAGCCTGCGTCTCGCCCTGCGTCGCCTGTCCGTCCTGCTCGCTCTAGTGGTCGTGGTTCGCGTCAGCGTCCTCCTCCTGTCCCTGGCACGCACCGGATGTCTCTGCGTCCGTCCACTGCTCCTCTGCGTGCCCCTTTGCCTTCTCCTCCTGAGTCCTCTCTTCCTGCTCTTCCCGACCCGGAGTCGGACTCTCTTCGTGCTGCCAGTCCTACTGTCACGCGTCTCCTTGCTACTGTCGTCACTGACCCTTCCTTTGAGTCCACTGCTGCGTCTGCCCTAGTTGCTGAGCTCGTCGACTTTGCTGCTCGCTGTCGTCTAGACTACGCTGCTAGTCTTGTCGTTGAGTCTGAGTCTGTCTGTCCTCCGTCCGTCGGGGGTGAGTGTGCCCTTGGCACGGACGTCCTTGAGGACAGGCAGGAGGAGTTCCAGTGTTTGGCTGCTGCTTCACCTCATCTCGTGTCCGTACTACTTACCCCTGAGGGAGACCCGGATGCACTTGACATCCCGACTCCGCGCTCTTACGCGGAGGCGATAGAGGGTCCCTACTCCTCTCAGTGGCAGGCAGCTATGGACACAGAGATGGCTTCCTGGAAGTCCACAGGCACCTACGTTGACGAGGTTCCCCCGCCTGGGGCGAACATCGTCAGTGGCATGTGGATTTTCAGGGTGAAGCGACCGCCGGGTTCTCCGCCTGTCTTCAAGGCGCGTTACGTGGCTCGTGGCTTCAGTCAGCGGCAGGGAGTTGACTACTTTCAGACCTTCTCTCCCACCCCGAAGATGACCACTCTTCGGGTACTGCTGCACATAGCTGCTCACCGCGACTACGAGCTGCACTCTCTTGACTTCAGCACTGCTTTCTTGCAGGGCAGCCTGCACGAGGAGATCTGGCTGCGTCGCCCACCTGGCTTCACTGGGTCTTTTCCTCCTGGCACCCAGTGGAGCCTCCGGCGACCAGTCTACGGTCTCCGCCAGGCACCGCGTGAGTGGCACGACACACTGAGGACTACACTTGCGGCTCTTGGGTTTGCTCCCTCTACTGCCGACCCGTCGCTGTTTTTGCGCACCGACACTTCTTTGCCGCCGTTCTACATCCTCGTGTACGTCGACGACTTGGTCTTTGCCACAGCTGACACTGCTGGACTTGCCCACGTGAAGTCCGAGCTGCAGAAAGAGACACACGTGCACAGACCTGGGTGAACTGCGCAGCTACCTTGGCTTGCAGATCACCCGGGACAGAGCACGCCGCACCATTACCCTGACTCAGTCACACATGGTGCAGCAGGTCCTTCAGCGCTTCGGCTTCACGTACTCCTCGCCTCAGGCCACTCCTCTGCCTACTCGCCACTCGCTCTCAGCTCTGCCTTCGGATGAGTCCGTAGAGTCGAGTGGCCCGTACCCAGAGCTTGTTGGCTGCCTCATGTACCTGATGACCTGCACACGACCTGACCTCGCATACCCTCTTAGCATTCTCGCACGCTATGTTGCTCCTGGGAGACACAGACCGGAGCACATGGCTGCAGCGAAGAGGGTGTTGCGTTACTTGTGCAGTACGTCGGGCATGGGGCTTGTGCTTGGAGGGCAGAGTCCAGTGGTCCTCACTGGGCACGCAGACGCTTCTTGGGCTGACGACCAGGCTACGCAGCGGTCGTCACAGGGTTACACCTTCAGCCTTGGTTCCGGCTCTGTTTCGTGGCGGGCTACCCGCTCGTCTTTTGTTCTCGGCTCCAGTTGTGAGGCTGAGATCTACGCCGGGGCCATGGCTGCACAGGAGCTTCGCTGGCTCACCTACCTGCTGACTGACCTCGGAGAGCCGCCTCGTTCTCCTCCAGTGCTGTACGTAGACAACAAGGCCATGCTGGCCTTGTGTCGAGAGCAGAGACTGGAGCACAGAACGAAGCACATTGCTCTCCGCTACTTCCTTGCTCGTGAGCTACAGCAGCGTGGTCAGCTGCGGCTTGCGTACGTGGCCTCTCAGGCCAACACTGCTGATATCTTCACCAAGGCACTTGCGCCTTGTGATCATCAGCGCTTCTGTACTCAGCTGGGTCTTGTGCCTACCTTGCCTCACTTGCTCACCCCTTGACCTTGTTTGTACTGTTGCATATATATATACACCTGCTCTTGCTTGTCTAGCCTTATATATATTTGTAATCCTGCATGTGAACTAGCCTTGTGGCCTTGAACTTGTGCTCGGAATGTGTGGTGACTTTGTGATCCACCCTGAGCTTGCTTTGCTTTGCTTGACTGGTCTTGTGACCCCTTGTTCTCCCCCACTTTGCCTATGGGGGTGTGTCAGATTTATATGACATAGCTACTGTAGGCTATAGTGGGGTAGCACATATGGGGTACAGTTTTCCAGGGTTTACATTTGTACCCAACTTTCCCTTAGTCAATTCATTCTCGTTCAGTTTCTCACAAGGAATACGAAGGGTTTAACTGTAACTGTTGTTGCGGTTCGATACAGCGACGACTCGGGTAACTGCTCAATAACGAGTCAGTTATTTGTCATTGCTGTCGCGCTGCCTTTGTCAAGTCAAGGGTCGCTGCCCTTTGACCTTCGCTTCAACCTGTCGCCTAGTCAACCGCTTTGGTTGACTCAGTGTTGCTTCGCTGTGAGTATACTTCTCTTTTTGTTTTAGTGCTCGATACTTCAGAAGCGTAAACTAAATGTTTCCAACAAGTTCGAGGAAGTAGTGCCAACTGAATTGAAGCCCCCTCTCGGGCGTGCTTTTGCTATATTCAAGATTGGAGTGGAGTGTGACTGTTTGCTTCACAGCAGCTGTAATTTCTCATAATCGATGCGCTTTACAAGACACGAGAGTGAACTGTGATGTGAGGAAAATATGTTGCTTGCTTCGTGCTGTCCGCCTTTTCACATACAACATTTGCTTCTTACACTACTACCACTCTTCTTTGACTTCTATTACTCACATGCATTCCTACCTCAGTTCATATCCAATTCCACCTCTTTTTGCACCTTAGTGACCTCACTTCATTCCTCTCTAACAAGAATCTACGGTAATATGGTAACGTACGAATGCATTCTTCTGACGATGTAGGGGATGCTACAGTATCGAGGAAAATTTGTTGCTTCTCTCTCTGGGCGCTGTCTTCTCCACAAACCAATTCGCGGCACCTCCAGAATTCATTACAATACCGCCTCTGCATTCCATGGCTTCCGCTCCTCTTCTCAGCCCTCCACGGTCTATTCTCAGCACCGTGTCGCGGTTAGACTCGCGTCCCTCGTCGGCATTGCGAGGACGGCCACTTTTGCGGCTCGACTTCAGCGCTTGGTGCCAACAACAATGGTCCAATTTTGGTTTCCGTAGCGGCGCGGTGCACTGTAGCTCAGATGGCGTTCGAGTACGTTCGAAACCCTCGAACCCTCTAGAGTTTCGAGTACGTCCGAAAGCATTGAATCCCGACGCCTTGACGGTACAAAGAGTGCGCTTGCGAGGCACGGGGAAATGTCGAAATGGCGCGCGCGAATTGCGCGAAACTCCGCACCAACGGTTCCGCGCCAGGTGTGCGGCGGAAGGGGATGGGGGACGGGGAGCTGTTTCAGCAGCAGAGACTGCGCAGGCTGCGCGGAAGGGCGGAGGGGGGGTGAGCAGACGCGCAACGGAAACCATCACCGCGAGCAAAGTTTCCGCCGAGGGGGACACCGCGCGCGCATTTGGCCCGCGGAGAAGCAGAGGCGGGGGGGGTGGGAGCGGGGAAGGCGGAGAGGCGGAAAGCGGGGAAGAAATCAGCGCATCCCCCCCGCTTTCCCCCATTATTGCGGTTGACGAGTTTTTCTCCCTCCCCTCGCTCGCGCTCCCCCCCGCTCCCCACGGACGCGCGCTTGAGTCCCTTGTGTTCATGCTGGCGGAAGGGGGAAAGGCGGAGGATGAGGAGGAGTGGGGGGAAGAGGCGGACGATTGGGGGGAGATCGACTGGGGGGAAGAAGGGGAGTGGAACGGGGGGGGACAGGGGCAAGGGCAGCAGGAGGGGCGCGGAATCGAAGTTTTCTGGGCATCAGACGTTAAAATTATGGGGGGGAATGGTGAAATGCCCTCCGCCGCCCCCGCTTCCGCCCCCTCATCCCCCACGCCCCCCACTTCCGCCTCTTCAGCCTCTTCCGCCCCTCTCCCTCCCCCTCCCCCCCATCTGGTCCTCTCTCACCTCCGCTCCGCCGCTCTTGCGCCCTGCGTGCTCCTCCCCGCCGCCCCTGCCACCCCTGGTCCGGGGGAAAGGGGGGAGAGGGGAGGCGGAGGGGAGGAAGGGGGGAACGCGGGGGCAGAGAGGGAGGCGCAAGGGTCGGGGTCGGCGCAGGTTCGGGTGGTGGCTGGGCGGTTTAGGGACGTGTGCACTCCTCCGCCCCTCACACACTTTGTCAGTCCAGCTCCTGCTCCCTCAACCCCTTTCTGAAACTGAGTTACGAGACGTCTCAAAACTCAGTTCAGGGACGTGTGTACTCCTCCGCCCCTCACACACTTTGTCAGTCCCGCTCTTGCTCCCTCAACCCCTGTCTGAAATTGGCTTCTCCTGCTCTCGCTTTATCAATCCCTTCTCGTTTTGTCACTCCCTTAGTCCCTATCACTCTCTTGCTCACTGTATCCGTTCCTCCCACACACCATTCCTTCCCTCTCTCCCTTCTCACTTCCCCTCTCCCTTCCTTACTCCACTGCCATCTGCTCTCTCGCTCAACATCCCCAGACATCCCCAACCCCCCCAATCCCCCTCCACCCCTTCCAACTCCCACCTGCTCCCCGTGCACATCCTCACTCCCTTCATCTTCCCAGCTCTGTTTTCCCTCCCTTGTCCCACCTGCTTCCTCCCCTCCTTACTCCCTCCCGCCTCCCCCATCTTCCTCCCTATCTTAGCCCCCCTCCATCCTCCCCTTCCTCCCCCCCACACCGCCAGCTCATGCTGCACGTGTACATGCGGCCAGGGACAGCTGTCAACATCCCATTGGCGCCCACTCAGTCCGCCCTCATATACGTCCTTGAGGTGGGCTGCCCTGGCTTGCTCTGTCACGCCATGACTGGTGCCTTGTTCTGCCTTGTGCCAATGCTCGTTGCATCGCAAGCTTCTCCTTGCTCTGTTGTAGCTGCTTCTCCTTGCTCTGTTGTTGCTGCTTCTCCTTGCTCTGTTGTTGCTGCTTCTCCTTGCTCTGTTGTTGCTGCTTCTCCTTGCTCTGTTGTTGCTGCTTCTCCTTGCTCTGTTTTTGCTGCTTCTCCTTGCTCTGTTGTAGCTGCTTCTCCTTGCTCTGTTGTAGCTGCTTCTCCTTGCTCTGTTGTTGCTGCTTCTCCTTGCTCTGTTTTTGCTGCTTCTCCTTGCTCTGTTGTAGCTGCTTCTCCTTGCTCTGTTGTAGCTGCTTCTCTTTGCTCTGTTGTTGCTGCTTCTCCTTGCTCTGTTGTAGCTGCTTCTCCTTGCTCTGTTGTAGCTGCTTCTCCTTGCTCTGTTGTTGCTGCTTCTCCTTGCTCTGTTGTAGCTGCTTCTCCTTGCTCTGTTGTTGCTGCTTCTCCTTGCTCTGTTTTTGCTGCTTCTCCTTGCTCTGTTGTTGCTGCTTCTCCTTGCTCTGTTGTTGCTGCTTCTCCTTGCTCTGTTTTTGCTGCTTCTCCTTGCTCTGTTGTAGCTGCTTCTTCTTGCTCTGTTGTTGCTGTTTCTCCTTGCTCTGTTGTAGCTGCTGATAGAATTGGAACTGAACTGATTGCTTGATAAGGAAGGCACTAGGCCTTAAGTACAAACAGGGTTGGGTTGAGCAAAGCTAGGGAAAGGATGGGATGGGAATCCTAGCAAATCTCCAATTGGTGAGTTGGCAGATTTGCAGGATTACGAGGGAATCCCAACCAGATAGGGTTGGGATTACAAATCTACACCCAACCTACAAAGTAACCTAACCGATATAGAATATAGTACAAAGTGTTGACTGACTATTTCTAACACACCCCCTAGGCTGACAGCACTTCAGCCACATGGCGGCCCAACACCCATGGACGAGAGGAGGTGGTAGTGGTCTTGGCGAACAAGAGACTTTAGTAAACAATTCAGCAAGGTTGCAGTCGGAGGCAATGTGTTCAGCCTTCAGCTGCTCGCGCTGCACCAGCTCACGAAGAAAGTAGTGACGGACCTCAATGTGCTTGGTGCGGCCGTGGAAGACGGGGTCCTTTGTGAGATGAATGGTGCTCTCGTTGTCACACCAAAGCGTTGGGGCTGGTTGAGGATACCCAAGTTCTGCCAGCAAGAAGGAGAGCCAACGGGCCTCTTGGGCAGCCATGGTCCCGGCATACAGCTCTGCCTCACAGGTCGACAGTGAGACGGAAGACGACCGAGTGGAGCGCCAACTGACAACCCCACTGCCAAGGGTAAAGCAATATCCTTGGGAAGAGCGCCGATCACTCTGGTCATCAGCATAGGACGAGTCACTGTACCCCTCAAGGCGAACAGAGGAAGAGCCGCCAAGAGTGAGCACATAGTCCTGTGTGCCTTTGAGATAGCGGAGGACTCGCTTGGCGGCAGACCAGTGGTGGCTCGTGAAGCGACCAGGTGCAACGTAGCGAGACAGGACACTGACTGGATAGGCCAAATCTGGTCGAGTGCACATCATCGCGTACATGAGGGAGCCGACGAGCTCGGGGTAAGCCTCATCACAGGGCTCAGGTGAGGGAACAGAGGGTGCAGTGAGTTGGTGCTGCAGAGAGAGTGGGGTGGGCATTGAAGCTGCTTCCTGCATCTTAAACCTGGTCAGAACGTTGTTGATGTAGAACTTCTGCGAGAGGGTGATGGTGCGGGCCGTGCGATCACGTGTGATTTCCATGCCCAGATAGTTCGTCAGTTTCCCAAGATCCTTCATAGCCAGCTTCTCACCAAGTGCGGTTTTGACTGCTGCCAGCTCAGTCTGATCCTTGGTGACAAGGATCATGTCATCGACATAAACCAAGATGAAGAAGCTGGATGGTGTTGCTCGGATGAAGAGGCTGGGGTCAGAGGTGGATGGGTGAAAGTCGAGGGACCCTAAGGTGCTCTTGAGCTTGTTGTGCCATTCCCGGGGTGCTTGCTTGAGGCCATAGACTGGTCGATTCAGCTTCCATACAGTGCCTGGTGGAAAAGGAGCTGGAAATCCTTCGGGCCGCTCCATGTAGATTTCCTCTCGAAGGATCCCTTGCAGAAACGCAGAGGACACATCCATGCAGTCAACCTCCATGTCATCTCGAGCGGCAACATCGAGAAGGGTGCGCAGTGTGGGAGGTTTGGCGGTGGGAGAGAATGTCTCAAAGAAGTCCAGTCCACGCTTTTGGGTAAATCCCTTGGCGCAGTACCGGGCTTTGAAGACGTGAAATTCGCCTGGAAGTTGTTTCACCCGGAAAACCCATTTTCCCTTCACAATGTTGACGCCGGAGGGAGGAGAGACATCTGTGAAAGTTCCTGTGTGAATGAAGGCCTCACACTCTGCGACAATGGCCCCTAGCCACTGAGCGGCGTGAGGACCAGAAACTGCTTCAGCATAGGTGAGAGGTGTGGGGATGGAGGGGTTGTCCGAGAAGTTGAGGGTGGGAGATTCTGCGATATCTGGAAAGAGGGTTGAGTCAATCTCAATCAACTCCTCATGTCTGTCCTCAAGAAGGGAGGGCATGAGCGAATAATCACCCCCGACAGGAGGAGGATTGAGAGAGACACGAATGGAAAGGGAAAGAGGCTTGGGAGCTTTGCGCGAGCGGGTGCGACCAGCGATGGGGGAGGGAGGCGGAGCTGGAGGAGGAGAAGCAGCAGGTGTAGTGGCAGCATCAGGAACAGCAGCTGGATCAGGAGCAGGAGCTGGATCAGGAGGAGGAGCTGGATCAGGAGGAGGAGCAGCAGCAGGACGACGGCGTTGGTAGGTTTTGAGAGGAATGGGCTCGGGGGCGGGAAGGAGCGGGGGAGACTGCGTGGTGCTGGAAGGGGAAGCGGGTGACGGGGGGTCGGAAACTGTGGAGGGAGCGGGAAGAGGAGGAGATGGAGTGGTGGTAGGAGGAAGGCTGTCAAAGTCAGCCCAAGTAAGAGAAGGAGGCGGAGGAGAAGGAGAAACTGTGGAGGAGGGGTAGAACGGGTGGGATTCATCGAAGAAAACATCTCGGCTGCGATAAAGTTTGTTGGTGGTAGGATGGAGGAAGAGGTAGTCTGGCGAGTCCGAGTTGTGCCCGAGGTACACGCACGTGATTTTTTTCGGAGCAAGCTTGTCGCCAGCTGCACGACGGGCTTGGGAGTTGAGGAGAACATAGGAAGTGCACCCCCATACACGAAGAGGGCGGACGGACGGCTTTTGACCCGTCCACAGCTCTGCGGGGGTGGTGTGGGTGTGGTGAGGATGAGGATGGAGATTGTGGAGGGCGGCAGCATGGAGCATGGCGTATCCCCAAAGAGAGGGAGGGGCGGAAGCATGAGTGAGGAGGCAGCGAGCAATCTGCACCAGGATGCGGTTTCGGCTCTCAGCAACACCGTTCTGTTGAGGGCTGTCTGGGAGGGTGAAGGTCTGACGAATACCCTCAGTAGAGCAGAAAGCTTTGAGAGTGTTGTTGCGGAATTCACCGCCACCGTCAGAGTGAAGAATCTTGATTTTGGTTTTGAAGTGTGAATGAGCCTGCCTTGCCCATTCCATGATAATGGCTGGGGCTTCTGACTTGGCGGTGAGAAGGTGAACGGACACATAGCGGGAATAGTCATCAACGATGACAAGGAAGTAGAAGTGTCCGCCACGGGAACGAACAGGAGCTGGACCCCAAAGGTCCATGTGTACGCGATCAAGAGGTGCGGTAGAGGTGGACTCAGTGGGAGGATGGGGCTGTTCCCGAAGCTTGCTCTGTGCACAGTCAAGGCAAGGTGGTCCAGAAAGAGAAAGGGGTTGTGGAAGTGAGGCGGGCAGCCCATGAAGGAGTTGTTTGGTGGCAAGTTCTGAAAGTGCGCGGAAGTTGATGTGGCCGAGGCGGTGATGAAATAGCATAGTCTTGTCATTGAGGAGGCGGCAGTGACATGAGGGGGAGTCTGAGGATGGAAGCGGAAGGTTGGTGAGGGAGCATGTTTGAACAGGAGGTACAACTAGTGTGTACAGGTTGTTGGAGTTGAGGGTGAAGCGGGCAAGATGGAGTCCGGTTTTGGCGTCAAACATGTCACAGTAGTCAACATCATTGGGAAAGATGGTGATCACGCCTGCGTGTTGGATTTCCCGCTGTGCAAGAAGGTTGTAGCGGAGGGTAGGGGCACAGATGCCAGTGACTGTGCCGGATGGGAAAGCTGGACAGGAAACTGTGGAGGACCCATGGCATTGGATGGAGAAGCTAGAATCGGCTCCAAGGAGTGAGGTGGGAGCCTGGTAGGGAACGAAGTCAGTTTGGTCTTTAAGCACTGTGTGGGTGGCACCACTGTCTAGTATGAACTCAATTCCCTGTGTGGTTGAAACACCAATGTACTGCGACCCCTTCTCATTAATAAGACCAGCACCAGAGAACAACAGGTTAAGGCGAACATCAGATGGGGCACTAGCAAATGCCTGAGCAGGTTCCTCCACTGCCTCGACCTGGTTCACGCGACGGGGTGGTGTCCAGTTGGGAGGGCGCTTGTCCTTGGAGACACCGTGGACGTCATACCACTCGTCATCTCGCTTCTTGAAGCAAGTTGCCTCAGGGTGGTTGGTGCCGTTGCATTTCTGCCCCGCACGTGGACCCTTCCTAATGAGGTACTGGCATGGGGGAAAGGAGTTGCGCCTCTGGCCCTGCTGGGAACGAAATGGGATGCCAGGGGAGTAGCGCACAGCATTGACGGATGCCTGGGCTGCAAGGTCCTTTTCGGCAGAGAGAAGGGCCGAAGCGACTTTCTCGAAGGTGAGTTCCTTGGTGGGGAGTTGCTTGAGCATGGAACTGGTGACGTTGTAGGCCGGGGTGAGTCCGACGAGAAGCCCAGCAGCAGGTGCCTGTTCGGGGAAGGTGATCCCAATGTCCTTGAGCTCCTCATGGATGTTGCGGATTTCAGAGATGTAGTCTGCCATGCCCGGGCATTCCTCAAGGCGGATTTGGAACATGCGAGGAATGAGGATTGCAACTCTCACGGCAGTTTTGTCATGAAAGCGATCCTGGAGGTACTTCCAAATGTCATGCGCAGAGCGGAAGGTGCGGTAGGACTTGACTAACTCGACTGGGGTGGTGGTGATGAAAACCCTAATCACTGCTGCATCCGCCTGCTCCCAGAGACTGAAGTCCGTCTCATACTTGGTGGTTTTAGCGTCGAAAGCAAGCTTGGCTGTGGCAGTGGCGCCTTCGCCGAGAGGATCGGGAGGGAGAGGCATCTTCCCCTTGCCGCGATTGAGGAGGATGTCCTTGAGGCAAATCCCCTTGAGCTCCGAGCTAAGGAGGTGCTTCTCCACTCCATAGCACCACTCCCCGAAATTGGTGCTCGTGCCGTTGGGAGCGAGGTTAAGGATGATGAGGTTTCCGACGAGAGTGGAAGTTGAAGTTGCCATTTCGCGCGGAGCGCAGCGCTAAAGTCTCCGATACGTAGCGGAGCGAAGCGGAGCGGAGTTCGGGTGATTTTGGAAATTGAGGAAGTTCGAAACGCGATTTTGGCAATAGAATGCCCGTACTATACCCTGATATACTGCTTCGCCAATGCCCCCTGTTCTGCTTCGCTGCTGCCCCTGTTCCGCTTCTCTGCTGCGCCGCTGACCTGTTCTGCTGCGCCGCTGACCTGTTCTGCTGCGCCGCTGGACCTGTTCTGCTGCGCCGCTGAACCTGTTCTGCTGCGCCGCTGAACCTGTTCCGCTGCGCCGCTGAACCTGTTCCGCTACACCGCTGAACCTGTTCCGCTGCGCCGCTGAACCTGTTCCGCTGCGCCGCTGAACCTGTTCCGCTGCGCCGCTGAAAACCTGTTCCGCTGCGCCGCTGGACCTGTTCCGCTGCGCCGCCGAAAACCTGTTCCGCTGCGCCGCTGGACCTGTTCCGCTGCGCCGCT